AGTGGAGTGGCCAGGCCCCCTTCATCCCAGCAAGCACTGTGTGCTGTTTCCTGGGAAGGGGAGTGGCCAGAGCCACTTGCACAGACAGCGCTGTTCCTAGCTATTCCTGGGGAACCTGCTAAGTGACCGGGCCAGTTGTGCCCTCTCTGCTTTGGCCCCCATCTGTACTCAGTACGCCCTGTGACTAAGCTTTCTGTGTCTCACAAATCATTATGTTTAAGATATACCCTATGTCAGTATCGCCTCATGAACATAACAAAAGAAAGTCCTGTTCCCAACTAGGCTTAAATCCACGTGTATAGGTTTTCCAAGACAGGGAGGGAGTGTCTCCCTGGTATTCTCATGCCGTCATTTCCATCCTGCATCGTCCTTTCTCTTCCAGGCTTCAAGAGAGTTCATGTAAGAAGGACAAATTGCTCAGAATCCCTTGCAGCCAAATCCAGGACCCCAGACACCTGACTATTGTCAGTCCTGGAAATCCTGAGCTTTGCAGAATATTAAATCGAAAACTGCCTGGGCTCTGGGGCCTTTGAGGTGTGAGGAGCAGAATTGTCCCTGGTGGCAGGCCAGGCAAGGGACACATGGGAATATACTGGCAAAGGAGAGGAGGAGGGACATTCTCTCTATCTCTCTCTCTTTCCTTCAGCTACTACTTATTGAACACCTGGTATGTTCTAGGAACTGTGCTGTATGAGGCCCAGAGAGATTATTTGAACTAGACAGACCATTAAACAGAAGCACAGAAATATATATATATATATATATTTAGGTAATAAATTTGCTCAAAATCAAACAGCTCAAAAAGAAAAATAGGCCTGTTCTTTCCCCAACCCTCAAGAGGGGATCCTCAGCGGTGACCCCTGCTTTCTGTGTCTTCTCTATTTTACAGAGAGTCTCTGCATATCCATATGCACATGTGCAAACCTACGTATCAGCACGCTGTAACTGCTTTCTGCTCGGGCCTGCTTTCTGCCACCTGGATCCGGGCAATCGGCCCAGCTCGGTTGGTGTGGAGCTCAGGGTCATGGCGGGTGGGTTGCCAGCCCAAGTCCAGGGCAGGGGTGGCAGAATGGCATCCTTCCTTTCTTGGAGTCTTTGTTTTGCATGTTCCCGGGAAGAGAAATCATTCTTGTCCCACATCTTAGCAGTACCACGTGGCCTGGCTTCCTCATTCGAGAAGTGGGGGCAGGTGGCATCTCTTATAGTCTCAATTGAGTTCTCCCAAAATATGTGTTGAATTCCTAACCTTGTTATATGTGGATTTAATCCTATTTGGGAGGAGGGGCTTCTCTGTTATGTTAATGAGCCCATCTTGATCTAGGGTGTGCCTTACACTTGACCACTGTTGAAATGTTAAAAGATGAGCGATGGAGGGCCATGAGCACAGGCCAGAGAAAGACAGCAGCTATCTGAAGACAGTGACCGCAGATGATAGAGTCCCAGGAGCTCCAGGGGTCACCAGCCACCTGAACTTTGCTTGTTGAAAATGAGGACTTGAAGCATTTACTGGTGAAGCTCAAAATCCTCACGCCTGGGCAATAAGGAACACCTTGAGAAAGGGAGACATACTGACGTTCGTTTAACTTGAAACAACAGTGAATGCTTGTTGCTGTTAGGTGCTGTTGAGTCAGCTCCCACCCACAGGGACCCTGCGTCCAACTGAGCAAAACACTGACGGTCCCGCGCCATCCGCAGAGCTGTCGCTGCGGTGAGCCCATCGGTGCAGACACTGCACTAAGCCATCTTGTTCAGGCGTGTCCTCGTTTTCACTGACTCTCTACTGTACTATGGTGGCCTTTTCTTTTTTCTTTTGAATCATTTTATTGGGGCGCATACAACCCTTATCACAATCCATCCATCCATCCATTGTATAAAGCACATTTGTACATTCATTGCCCTCATACATTCTCAAAACATTTGCTCTCCAGGAAAGCCCCTGGCATCAGCTCCTCATTTTCCCCCTCCCTCCCAGCTCCCCCTCCTTCATGAACCCTTGATAATTTTTTTTTCATATCTTGCCCTGTCCGACATCTCCCTTCACCCACTTTTCTGTTGTCCGTCCCCCAGGGAAGAGGTTATATGTGGATCCTTGTAATTGGTTCTAAGGATTAGTCACTCCTGCTAATAGCTCCAGTGTATGTGAGATGAAGTTGTGCTATCTTTGCTTCTGAGGAGCATTCTGACTGTACTTCTTCCAGGTATATTTGTTTCTTCCTGGTTTTTTGTTTTATTTTGGGTTTTTTCCAGTATTCTTCACCAATACCATAATTCAAATAAATCAATTCCTCTTTGGTCTTCCTTATGCATGGTCTGGTTTTCATGTATATCTGAGGCAATTGACATACCACGACTTGTTCAAGAGAGTCTTAGTCCTCAAAATAATATCTTTGTTCTTTAGCACTTTAAGGAAATATTATGCAGCAAGTTTTCTCCAGGTAATACTTTGCTTGATTTCTTAATTGCTGCTTCTTCATTGATTGAGAATCCAAGTAAAATTAAATCCCTAATAATTTCAATCTTTGATGCATTTGCAATGTTGTTGCCTGTTGGTTCAATTGTGAAGATTTTGGTTTACTTTACATTGAGTTAAAATCCATCCTGAAGGCTGCAGCATTTGGATTTCATTAGCAAGTGCTCCACTCTTTCAGCAAGCAAGATTGCGTCATGCACATTACAGATTGTGAGTAAGCCATTGTGTTAGTCTGGGTACTTTAAAGAAACAAATCCACAGAAACTCATGTATAAGAGAGAGTTTTATATAAAGGGTAAGTGTGCATCAAGAAAACATCCAAACCCAGTGCTGCCCAAGCCCACAAGTCCAACATTAACCTATTAACCCATATGTCCAACATCAGTCCACAGAGTCCTCCTCCAGCTCACAAAACAGACACAATGATGCCGACTGCAGGAGGAAAGCAGAATCAGTGAATGTGAAAACATCTCAGCACTGGGAGGGGCTCACACAGGTGCTCCAGCGCCCAGGGCGGCATTGGGGTGGGTCCATGAGGCTTCTCTTTGGGGATGTCTTGCAGGAAGTCAGCCTTGCCAGCTGAAGCAGGGAACTGCTAAGGCAGCTGCACCCTGGTCCAACCATCACAAAGCAAGAGACACGAAAACTAGAAAGGTGAGGCTCATGGAGCCATTTATCCCTCTGCCCTTCAATTAACCCCACATGTGTTTATCAGCTAGGTTGGCACAATAAACTAACTACCTCAGCCTCCTTCCGATCCTGATGTGGTCTCCTCTTATAATACTTCCCAGATCATTTGGTCAGCATGCAGATTAAGTGTGGTGAGAGGGCACAATCCTGACTTACACATGTTCTGATTTTAAATCACACAGTATTTCCATGTTGTGGTCTATGTACAGCTTCCACATAAGTACAGTTGGGTGTTCTGGAATTCCTATCCTTTGTAATGTTATTTATAATTTGTTATGATCCACACAGTCTAATGCCTTTGCATTGTCACTAAAACACAAGCAGACATTTTTCAGGCGTTCTCATTTCAGCCAAGATCCATCTGATGTCTGAGCAATGATATCCCTCATTCTATGCCCGCTTCTGAATCCAGCTTGAATTTCTAGAAACTCCGTGTGGATGTTCTGCTTCATCCCTTTTTGAATTATCTTCAGAAAAATGTTGCCTGTGTGTAAAAATGGTTCGATGATTTCTGCATTCTGTTAGGCCACGTTTCTTTGGAATGGGGATGAGCCTGGATCTTTTCCATGTGGTTCTCCAGGTAGTTGTCTCTCACAGGAGTAGCAGTCAAAAAGTAAAAAGATGTCATCCATCGGGCAAATCTGCTACAGAAGACCTCCTACAACGCACAGATGTCACGTTAAGGACCAAGGTGTACCTGACCCAAGCCATGCGATTTCCAATCACCCATATGCATGAGAAAACTGGACAATGGAAAAGGAAAACCGAAGGAGAATTGCTACATTTAAATGAGGGTGTTGATAAGGAAAACAGATTCGACTGCCAGAAAACTGAAGAAATCTGTCTTGGACGAATCACAGCTAGAATGAACCTGAAAGAGAGGGTAGCAAAACTCTGTCTAACTTACTTTGGACATTATCGAGAGGGACCAACCCCTCGGGAAGGACATCATGCTTGGTAAAATAGGAAAAAACTCCAAACCCATGGCCACCGAGTCACAATGAAATACCGTCCAACATGGTGCTGGGAAATGAGACGAGCCCCCTAAGTCAGAGGTACTCGAAACACACAGTGGCGGCCAGCCCACCATCGCCATGCAGACGACCCGGGACCAGCAGCATTTTCTGTCCTCCATGGGTCCCCATGGGTCAGAGCTGGCTCACGGCCACTAACCCCAACGGCACATGCCAAGAGCGTGTGATGAAGAGTGACGGGAGTTGAGACTGGACAGACCTGGAGGTCCTAGCCACAAAGAGGGAACCCCAAAGGCTGCAGGGGGGCAATCTTGGTTTTTTGTTTGTTTGTTTGCTTATTGATTTTCAGATTGCCATTTATTTATCCAACAAACGCACAGGGGTAGCCGTTGTTGTTGCACCCGAGGGAAAGCCAACTCACACAGTGTTGTGGGCGATGGGTGCGCGTTCATGTCCCTTCTTTGGGATAAGATGGCTCCAACAGCTCAGGGGCTCTCGTGGACAGAGGGCTCCCAAGTGGCACACAGATTCTAGGATGGAGCTTGCCCAGTTTGGGCCCGGCCCACCCTTGAAGCCAGCAGGGCAGGGGAGCTGGGGCTAATAGAGCTGGTCTTGTTAATGGCTAGGGTCAAAAGTAAAGACGAGATGACTCCTGGGCCAGGAGTTGAGGGGCTGTAAGGGGATGGAGAACTGATGCTGGGCTGTGGGTGTGGGCTGAGGAGGGGAACGCGAAGAACTTCTGGGATGTGATTCCTAAGGTCAGGTGGCCACAGAAGTGCCTGTGGGGGGCAAGGCCTGCCCAGTCAGGAGCTTCCGGGGACCAGCAGGCCCTGGCTCTGCCTGTCTCAGTTGCCCTTGCCATTGCAGGCAGGCATGCCCCGGACACTGAATGCCCCCGATATGGTCACCCCAGGCAGCCTTGGACAGCCCCCCACCGAGCCCACCCATGGCGAGCAGGCCGAGCAGCCCCTCTTGGATGGAGCTCCATCCTCTGCCTCTTTGGACACCCTGATCCAGCACCTGGTGCCCACAGCCGACTACTACCCCGAGGTGGGTGAGCTGCCAGGCATGGGGAGATGCCAGGACCAGGGCTGGCCGAGGGGACCAAGAGTACATGCTGGGAGGTATGTCCACCCCCACTACCCTCATGAGCATGCGGCCCCTTTTCCACCTGTCCGCCCAGAAAGCCTACATATTCACCTTCCTGCTGAGTTCCCGCCTCTTCATCGAGCCCCGGGAGCTCCTGGCCCGTGTCTGCCACCTGTGCATCGAGCAGCAGCAGCTGGACAAGCCTGTGCTGGACAAGGTGAGGGGCTGGGCCGGGCAGGGGCTGTGAGTGAGCCCAGCTGGGGCCAGCACTCTCCTGTCGCACCCTGCTGCCTTCAACCTCTCAGGGCGGCAGTGAGTGGCCCCATTCTCCTGATCAGGTACCAGAGACCAAGGGTCTCCCACTTGTCTGAATCACGGAGCCAAAGAGACAGGTCCCTCGAACTGCACGTTCTCCATGCCTTGTGGGAGCCTCCCGGGAAGCCCTGCAGCCTCTGCCAGGCTCCCTTCCTCCAGCACACTGCTCTCCATCCTTCCCGCCTCTGCTGTTTGCCCAGACTTCCCATCATCCATTCCTCTGATTGTCCCACTGTCCCTGCCCCGACCCTGCGGAGCTGAGACTCGATTCACCAGGGCCTGTGGGCTCCACAACTACAGTGAAGGATGCCCAAGGCCAAGAGAGCAGGTGGCTCCTGGAACTTCAGGTTCCAGGGGCTCAGATCATTCAAATGGAGTCGTTCTCCTTCCGGATCCTCCTCTGGATCTTCCCCCGGGCTGCTCTTATTGGGGGGTGGGGTGGGGGAGAGAAGTGGGGAATGGGGGATGACAGGGGGCCACGTTCTCCCTTCGGCGTCCTGGTGGCCACCTGGCTTCTGGAACGCCAGGCTCACTTTTGATAACTCAGGGAAGTGCACACCCCTTCCTCAATAGAGCATTGGTCGATGCTTTAGGTCACGTGCTCATGTGCGAGCCAATCACTATTCACAATGGAGGTGTGCGGTCTCTGATTGGCCCGCCCTGAGCCTAGGCCCATGCTGGAGCCGTGAAGTTAGGCCATTTGCTCCAGAGCCCCCAGGGTTGGCGAGTTCTTACTGTTTAACCCCCTGGGAAAATTGAGGGTCCGTCACCATAGAAAGGGGACCTGAGGAAGTAAAAACAGGAGGTGACCCACCCCAAAATGTCTGTCTGTCCCCCACCACTACTACTTGCAGTGTCCCTTGCCCTTCTCAGCCACAGCCACCACTAACACACCAGAAGCAGCCCAGACTGGGGTCCCCACAGTCAATGTGGCCCTATCTTCTGAGCACCCTTCACCGAGTGCAGGCACCCATCGTCTTGCTTTGCAGGCCCGGGTCCGGAAGTTTGCCCCCAAACTGCTCCAGTTGTTGGCTGAGTGGACAGAGACCTTCCCTCGGGACTTCCAGGAGGAGGCGGCCATCGGGCACATGAAGGACGTGGTGGGTCGCATCGCTCCCTGTGATGAGGTGAGATACCAGTGCACTCTCTCTGCACCTTCTTTGCCAGGGTCTAAGCCTGTTCCCTGGCCCGCCCTCGGAATCCTTCCCTGCCCACGCTGCACAGTGCAGTCCCCGTCCCCAATTCAACCCCTTTCTGGCCCACCACGACCTGGAGGCAATTGCCCAAGGCGACTTGCCCCATGAGTTCCGGAGCTGAGGCCTGGCCAGGGTCTTAGGCCTGCTCTCCTGGCCCTCTCATCATTGGCATCAGACAGTGGGCAAGGCAAAACCCACAAGTGGGCTCTGCAGTCACATGGGTAGCCCCAGTGGTCTGCAGACCACAGGGAGGGCCTGGCAGGGCCCACATCCTGCAACTTTATACCACAGAGGCTCCACACCATGTCCAGGGCTGGTGTCTTGTCTGTCATTAGGAACAGTCAATGCTCTTGTCTGTCATTAGGAACTGCAATGACAACGTCAGGAATGACTTCCACCCTGTGTTCACAGGTGCTCTGCGAACCTGGCGGACCCCAGGGCCTGAGCTCCTGTTAACCTTGCAAAGTTGGGGCAGAGGTGGCGAGGGCTCTGTCCAGCTAAACCCACAGCACAGGGGCAAAGTGACTCCTGGACCTGCACTTAGAAGCTGGTGGCTTGGGAGCCAGAGGGTATTCCGGGTCGTGAGGTGCCCTGAGCCCTGGGCCCTACTCCACTCTTGGGAAGCACCTAGGGTCTCCAAGCCTCACTGCCCTTGGGAATGAAGGGATGAGAATTCCCCACCTCCCAGGATGATGGGAAGACCCCCAGAGGGGAGGGAGGGCTCTGGGTTTGCTCAGAAGGAGCAGGCTGCTCAGGATCCCCAGGATGGTCCCGTGGCCAGCACTGATGGTGCTTTGTCTGAAAGGAGAGGGCATTATGGGGCGCATGTCATCTCCCTAAAGGAAAATTGCCAAGGCAGGCTGGGTAACAGGAAGTCATACCGTCCGGCCCGGAGAGGGAGGCTCTGCCATGGGGTCATTTCACTTGACAGGTAAATGGCTGAGATCTTCTGAGGGCTCCGGGATATGAAGGGCAGCTCCTCCTCCTCACCCCCCACCCACCTCCCCGGCATCGCCTGACTTATCTCCAGATCCCAACCCCTGACTTCGGACCCAGGATGGACCAGTGTCAGGGAAGGCTTGTTGACTGGATGGATGAGACAGGGAAAGGGGTGGGGCATTCCATGCCACTGGCTGGCGTGGAGGCTGTATCTGGCTTCCTCTGGCCACACAGGGAGAAGAATCCAGCTTCACACTAGCCCAAGAGAGAAGCCAGACATACATCCACCCTCCCTCTTCCTGCGCCCTATTCTGACATGGACCTTTCCTCTCACCACACCCTACTCCTCGGCTGGGTTGGACCACTTGTTGCGATGTCCACACAGAACTCACAGACAAGACTGGTGGTGAAGGGAGGTCATTAGGGAAGTTAAAGGAGCCCTGGTGGCATAGTATTTAACTACAAGGTCAGCAGTTCAAAACCACCAGCAGCTCCAAGGGAGAAAGATGGGACTTTCTACCCCAGTAAAGAGCTACAACCTCAGAAACTCCCCGGGGCCATTCTACCCTGTCCTATAAGGTCACTGCGAGTTGGCATTGACTCAATGGCAGTGAGTTTGGGTTTTTTTGGTTTATTGGGAAGTTAACAGGTGACCACAGCCAGGATGTGTAAACAGCAAAGATACACTCATTGGTCCCCAAGTCTCTCTCTGGTCCTCAGGCCCTCGGCCACATAGTCCCTTGGCCTCGGCCTTGTTCCAAGGTTGGGAAGCCCACCTGCTGCTCTGCTTCACAGTCTCGTGGTCTCAGGGCTGCTCTTCCGCCAGCTCTGTCTCATGGTCTACTTGCCTCCACCTTGGTCTCACCCTCCACCACTTTAGGCAGGGTTCTCAAAGATGGACCAGTGGGGCCTCCTTTCCCTGATGGCCTGGGAATTCTCCCTGCTTCTGCATCTGAAGTGGCCCTCTGAGACACAGGGCAATGGCAATGACAACTGATCAGTCCCTTCTACCAGTGTTTCACACCCCCTATTTGCATAGTCATTAGGTGAGGGTTGCAGATACCTGGGTAGAAGAGCCATGCTCAGAAATTTCACTGTACTTCAGTGGGCTACTGTGTTGGACACGGAACAGGGTGGTATAGATGTTTAGGTAATTGGGTAAGTAGGTGGATTTATAAATAAGTGGATATTGAAAGATTGACAGGAAAAAAGGAGGAGGGCCAAAGGAAAAAATTCTGGATAGATGGGGGTAGGTAGATGGATGTATGGATGGGGAGCGGATAGATGGATGGTTGTTGGTGGGAGGGAGAGTGTCTAGGGTAGGTGGGAAGTAGATAGGTGGATGGGTGGATGAATAGATGATGGTTAGGAAGATGAATTGGTCGATGGATGAATGGATGGATGGATGAGTAGATGGATGGGTGGGTTGGTGGGTGGGAGGGAACATGGATGAGATGTGGATAGTGTTGGTGGGTGGTGGGTGGGTAGATGAATGGGTAGGTGGGGGAGGAATGAATGAATGGAAGGGTGAGTGGAGATGCGTGGTTACCCTTCCTTGACATGCCTTGGACACTCAGAGAGACACTGCTGACCTGGTTGCCCTGGAGAAGGGCAGTGTGTAAGTCCTGGGCAGTTTCCCTCCAGGAAGCCAGGGCTCCACACAGAGCCCCTGAGAATCCCTCAGGCTTGTCATCCTGCTGCGTTGAGAAATCTTCTTACCCGATGAAAGAAACAAGATCCCACTGGGTTGTGTGGGTGGGCTTCAGGAGAGCACTTCTCCTCCAGGCTTGGGTTTTCAGAGCAGAAACGAACTACTCAGACCTTTCCTCTCCCTTCCCTTGTGAGCCACGCAGGCATGTTGCAGGGCTGGCATGGAATGGGGTTCCCTGGATCCCTCTCCACCTAGAGATTCCAGGGACAGGCCAGGGGTGCTCCCCCCTGGCTTCATTATCCCCCAGTCACTCTTCCACAGAAAGCACCTGTTCCCCAAAGGACACTCTTTGGGAGCAGGTTTTCCTACCCTGATGACTGGCATCCTTCCGGTTCCTCCCTCCATCCCAGGCCTGAGCAGGACACCCTTCACCACCACAGGAGCTGGGGGCAAGGCACAGAAACTCAAACCCTCACAGGCTAGGCCAAAGATCAGAACCACACTCGTGTGACTTTGTGCATGGTGCTCCACCTCTCGAACGCCCACTTCGCTGTCAGTGGAGGGGGATGGTGCCCGCTTGTGCAGCACAGCGTGGCAGCGAGGAGGCCCTGGAGCCGCACACATGCTCCATTCACGGCCGCGCACATGGTGAGCACTTGGGTCAAAGGAAGCTATATTCAGGACCAAATATTTCCCAAATCTCATGCATATGGGGATGACTTTCACTCTGGAAAATTTCACACATACACAAAAGGAGAAAGAATGGCACTCGTGAACTCCTGTGCACCCGACACCCAGCTTCCCCCAGTGTCCACGTGGCCAAGCTTGCTTCTGTGCCCCCTGGTCCCCCCACACAGCTTCCCTCCCATCGCCTCCCTCATCCAGATTGTCTTGAGTCAGAGCCCATGTTGCAGCTTTTGTTCTGAACATACTTTGGCATGTATGAGAGACCTTATCACGACCCTATAGGACAGGGCAGACCTGCCCCTGTGGGTTTCCAATGCTTTATGGGAAGAGAGTCGGCGTCGGCTCGATGGCAGTGAATTTGGTCGGCTCGGGATGGGAGGATTAGCCTGTGTGTGAGTAAGGTTAGAGGTCACAGGCCAGATCATCAGGTTTTTATGTCCAACAGCTCACACTCATCTTGTTTCCGTTCATCCGGGCACTCGCCTCAATGTACCATGGTGTCTCCCACGTCTGCCCTACATTTCCCGTGTCCATCTTTCCTAGCTCTCGACATGTTGTCCTTGGAGAAATGCTGGCCTTTTGATCTGAAATGGTGGGGTACTTTTATATGGGGGTGAGTTCCATCCCACAACTGGCGGCTGGCCAAGGGTATAGTCTTAGAGGTCCTGCCAGGCTCTACCTGACAAACCTGGTCTCTTTTATGATTTGGGGTTTTATTCCATATTACCCTCCCACTCAATCCAGGACCTCCTAATGTGATGCCTTGCAGAACACTTGGCAGTGGGGACTGGGCACCATCTAGTTCTTCCGGTCTCAGGGTCATGGAGGCTCATATTTGCATGGTCCCTTAGTCCATATGTATTTTGATTCTCATCATGGGAGGATTCACTTTTAAAAGACTTCTCATGCACGGATGGAATCAAATGATAGAAAGTACCATGCACCATGCTCTGAGGTGAGCTTAGGTGCTTTCAGAGGTGGGGACTCCAGGCTCTTTAAAGCAAAAAAACTCTCTGCCATCAAGTCGATACCGACTGATAGCAACCCTATAGGATAAGGATAGAACGACCCCTGCCCTGTAGGGGTAGAGCTGCCCTGTGGGTGTCCAAGACTGGAACTGTTCATAGGAAGAGAAAGCCCTGTCTTTCTCCCTTGACCTCTAAACCTCTATTTTCCTCCCTTATAGGGGTGGCTAGAACAAGGGGACCGCTCAGGGCCTGGGCTCCCCTTGCTTAGGCTTTCCCATCAGCCAGCAGTGAAAAGCAGCCCCTCATTCCTCCTGTGTCTCCTGCCATTTCCTCACCGTCCTCAGCAAAACACCACTGCCCTGAAGCTGAGAAGGGTGTTCTTCATAACTGTGGGTTCTGGGGACTCCCAGGAGGCTGCCCAGTAACTAGCCCCTGTGTTGAGACCCTGTTGGGGGCTGCCCTGTGCTGGGCAGGAGGCCCAGGATGCCCAACCTTGAAGGGGCTCCCAGGACGTTGGAGTTGGTGGCTACAGCTTAGGGAGACCATGGCTAAGGCTGAGTGAGGCCGCAGGAGCCCCCAGAAGGCCCAGAGGTTGCAGCTTCGGCAGCCCCCAATGTGGGGAGGGTGGAGAGGAAAGGCTCCTCCCAGTGGACAGATGTTACCCTTCCACTTGCTCAGGCCCTCTGTCTTCTGGACTGACCACATGACGACCTTCCCAGGCCCCCTCTGAAGGCAGAGGTGACAGGTCAACACCAGAGACAACCTGGTGGGGGCACAGAGCAATCAGTGAGGAACATGGGAGGTGGCTTGTGCCTACTGACTGACAGACCAGTAAGTAAAGCCCACCTGTATCCTGCTTACTGTGAGCCAGTGCACATCATGCTTACAGGTTAACCCAACCACCAGGGCCTCCAGAGCCACCTGACCAGTGCAAACTGAACCCTGCCCTCGGGGAATGTTCAAGAACTTAAGGGAACCAGAGAGTTCTAACCTAAAAATGCCCAGGAGAATCAGAGACATCTGGAGAGCCAGCCCCGATGGCTTCTACACGCTCACGTGCTTGGGCCTGTGCAGAGGGCTTGCTGGAAAGGCTGGAAAAGACAGCGCCAGATCCCTCATCCTCACAGGCGAGGTGTGACGGGCCAAAAGAGGGCCCACGTGTCCTGTTGGCCCTGGGCTCTGTTAGCTTGGGCTCCTGGACTCACAGAAGAGCACTCTGTGCCCTCGGTGGTCTGAGACTTCCCAGGCCACCTTCCAGCCTCTCCTCATCCTAGAGGAAGTCCTGAGAACAAGAAGGCGGTGAAGAGCAGAGAAGAACAAATCCCGTTCCCTGTACAGAGGGAAGCGGCAGGTTTAGGCAGGGACCCACAAGCCGAGTTAAAGTTCATATCACAGGAAAGAGTCTGGATGAATCAACAAACAAGAAATGGTTATGTCTGGAGCAGCCATTTAGGAGGCCTGGGCCACACATGGAAGGCTGGTGTGGGAGCAGGGCTGTGCCCGGATGACCTCTAGCCGGCAGGTGGGATGGCAGCCCAGCCATTCACGGAAGCAGGGAAGAGGCTCTAGGCACCGAGGCTGCAGTGCCACCGGGACTGGCAGATTCCTGTGGACCACCAACCATGAAGCTCTGGAGAGCAGAGGGGAGGGGTCATGCACATGTGGGCGTGGCTCACGGCACACACTGACTGATGCTGTGGACATGCACCAGAAGGGAAGATCCAGGAGCGCATGGCAGAGCGAGAAGAGAAGACTGGACCTGCGCAGGAGGAGCCCCTGCTTGTCCTGGGCGAGGAGGTAGACATGCCTGAAGGCAGAGACAAGAGGAGCAGGAGGCTGAGGGAGGGTCAACACACACACCACACACACACACACCGGCAACCTGAAACTGGTTTAAGGACAGGAGGTCGTGGGGTAACAGTGAGTCTGTTTGCTGAGGGAGCCAGCAGAGGTGGTTGGGGCTGAGTGGGAGGTGAGGAAAGACGACAGCATGTGTGGCCCTCTCTGAGATGGTGGACAATGAGTGGGAGCAACTAAGTGTGAGTGGGTATGAGTGTGAGTGGCTGAGTGTGAGTGGGTCTGAGTGTGAGTGACTATGAGTGTGAGTGGGTATGAGTGTGTGTGGCTGAGTGTGAGTGGCTATGAGTATGAATGACAGTGTAAGTGGCTCTGAGTGTGAATGGGTATGAGTGTGAGTTACTATGAGTGTGAGTGGGTCTGGGTGTGAGTGACTATGAGTGTGAGTGACAGTGTGAGTGGGTCTGAGTGTGAGCGGGTATGAGTGTGAGTGGGTCTGAGTGTGAGTGTGTCTGAGTGTGAGTGAGTGTGAGTGGGTCTGAGTGTGAGTGGGTCTGAGTGTGAGCGGGTCTGAGTGTGAGTGAGTCAGAGTGTGAGTGGGTCTGAGTGTGAGTGTGAGCGGGTATGAGTGTGAGTGACTAGAGGGCAGTAGAAGTGCCAGGCCCAAACTGCCCAGCCTGGCTATGGCCGGACCTCATTCACCACCTTCCTGCAGTCCACCCAGAAGGCAGCGTCCTGACCACACTCTGGAATGCACAGCACAGAGAAGGGCCATCACTTCTGTGGGTGACAGAGCAGAGAAACGGGCCTCAGTTTACCCACACTACCCCAGCTAATCAATGGGAGCCTTTCCTCTGGGACTGTCCACTGACAGCCTCCTGCCCTGCTCTGTGCCCTGGGAGCTCTGCCCTTACCAGAGCAGTGGGCACTAACAACCCCTGGGCATCAACCATCTGCCCGTGAGCCCTGCCAGGGAAGCTACACTCTGCCCTGCCGGCCAGGTGCCCCACCTACATAAAGGAAAATACTCCTTTGCTGTCTAAATTACCTGAGAATGCTAACTAGTCCCATGCCGGGATAGCCTAAGTCCTCCAGGCTCTGTCCAACAGACTCCTTGTCTTTGCTGCGACTCCAGGCTCCGAGCCTCCACTCCTCCAGCCTCCCCCAGTGCCAGGCCAGCCCCTGGGCTCACTTAGCATTGAGACCAGTTCTAGTGGGGCCATTTGCCACAGTCTGGTGGACACAGGAGGCCTATTCGGTGGTTATGGACCAGAAAATCTGTGGGGATATGTGGACTTCTCACCTCATCAGCCCAGTTGACTGATTTGATTGGCACATTCCTTGACAAAGCCATTCTGGGAGTGGGGGCAGCAAGTCTTCTTGGGAGGGGAAAGTTGGGCACCCCCCAGCCCAGGACACAGCCCTCAGCAGGGAACTGGAGCCAAGCTGACTGGCTGGTGTAGGGAGTGATGCCCGGTGGTGCCCGCCCTGTGCCAGAGCTGCAGGAATAAACAGAGGAGCACAGCAGGTCATCACCGCCAGGGCTCAGGACCCAGAGTGACATGGGGCAAATCCCATGGCAGTGAGGCTTGGGGTAGGAAGGCTCTAAGCGAGCACAAGGCCAGCTGGCCCAGGGCTGGTTCTTTCCTTGTGGCCCTCTTCTTGCTCCCTCCCCCGGCTCCCTGCATGGCCACCCCACCCCCACCCCACCCCGATAGCTCCAGACTCTCCATGTTTAGTCTTCTGCTCCCACCATAACCCTGGGACCTTCTCAACTGGCCTTGACCTTGGCCCCCATGGCCAACCTGCCTGGGATTGAGTCCTGGTGGGGGTAGGGGTGAGAGGGTGGTGGCAGACCGTACACACTTGATAGTCCATCCTGAGAAAGGCAGAGATGGGTCTTCAACCTGACCACCTGTCTTCCCCTGCTGCCCGCTGCCTAGGCCTCCCGGAAGAGGCTACACCAGCTCCTGCAGGCCCTGCACCAGAAGCTGGCAGCTCTGCACCAGAACCCGGAAGGCCTGGTGGGCGCCGACAAGCCCATCTCCTACCGCACCAAACCGCCGGCCTCCATCCACCGGGAGCTCCTGGGCCTCTGCAGTGACCCCTACGTGCTGGCCCAGCAGCTGACCCACGTGGAGCTGGTGAGTCGGCAAGGCACTCCCTCATCCCCTCAGCTGGCCCAGAGCCCTCCTCTCAGAGTAACCTGGAGCTTGGGCCCCTCACAGCAGGGCAGCCCAGATGACTCTCGGCTCAGAACAGTGTCTCACTTTGTCCTGGGCAAGGAGCAGGGGAAGGACGTGACTGGCTGTGGCACCACCTGCACGGTGGTCCCCAAGATAATGGCCTTCTCCATCTGGGCCTTGGTTTCCCCAGCAGCGACTCCCCCAGACACAGTAGCCTTGCCCCAGCCTTCAGAACTGACCCCGAGCAGCCCTTCCTGAGTGTAAGGACGGTCCCTGGCCTCCTCCCCCCATACATTGAGCCGCTTTGGGGTGTAGAAGGTTTAGGGGAGGCTGGGAGTGGGCATGTTAAACCTCCACCATTTCTGGCACCCCTGCTGCCTCCGGGCTCTACTCAGCACCCACATGCCCTATCTCACTTCATCCTCCACCCACCCTGCCAGCTAAACTAAACATTCAACGCTGTCCAGTCAATTCTGACTCACAGAGACCCTACAGGACGGAGTAGCGCTCCGCATGGGAGGAGAAACCCATCGTTCTCTTGCAGAGAGTGGCAGGTGGTTTTAAATGGCTGACCTTGAGGTTAGCAGCCCAACATGTAACCACTGAACCAGCAGGGCTCCCTACCCTGCTGGATAAGTGCCATCATTGACAGGGATGTGGAAACCAAGGCCCAGAGAGGTTAAGTGAGTAGCTGAATTAGCACAGCAGTGGGGGAAGAGCCAGGCTTTAATTCTGACTCCAGACCCCAGGCTGTTAGCCATCAGCCCTCCTTGGAAGGAGCAGGCTCTGGGTGTTATGCCCAGCAAGCCCTCATTGTGGGGCCATTCATTCTCCAGGTGCCAGGCACTGTGGCTGGTATCGGGCTGGGGGGGAGCAAGGAAAGGCTGCTTCCATCAGAGAGGGGAGCTTTGTGCCACCCCATACCCTGAGCCTTAGAATGAAGGGCAGGTGACAACAGGCCCCCTGGGGAGTGCTGGGTCCCCAGCACAGGCTCCTTTCCCCCCATCCCTTTGCAGGAGCGGCTGCGACACATCGGGCCTGAGGAATTTGTCCAGGCTTTTGTGAACAAGGACCCTCTAGCGAGCACACAGGTAGGCTGTCGCAGCAGTGACTCCCACTCACTGGTCTCTCGGAGATGGGGGTCAGAGTAGGGGTGGGAGACCCAGAGCGCATCAGCTGGGCAGGCTTTGGAGGGACCTAAATTGGGGTGGGCATGGAGGGATTCTGCCATTACCACTACAGCTCACAGACTGCATCAGACCCTGAGTGCCAGGGTAGCTGGGCCGGTAGGAAGTGCCCAGCTCCATCATCTACCCGGCGGGGCTGTCAAGGTATGAGAGGAACCGAGATGCCTGCTGTGAGAGCCCAGTCAGCCAATGGCCCTGGATAGGAAGGCTAGTGGAGAGCGCGCCCAGGCAGGCGCTCTGGTCCCCTCCCCGTACGTTTCAGTGGATGCAGGTGCCCTCCAGCGGCCACTGTCGGAAGCGCGGGCTGGTGCGCGCTGCTCGTGAACGTTAAAAGGTAACCACCACGCCTTAGTCCCCTAGAGCAGTTTCCCGCCCCAGACGCCGGATTTCATGACCTCGTCCGCTTCTCTGAGCCTGCTTAGCAGGGTGCTTGGTATTTTAAAAGTTTACCCATAAACTCCAAACCAGAGCTGGATATATGTTATCTTTTCCCCTCACGCCTAAAAAAAAAAAAAAAACCACAGTGAGTGGTGCAAATTAAATTGGCTAGCACCTCCCAGATACGCAAACATAAAATAGTTGGAAAATTAGCCCACTCTTGGGATCAGAGTGTAGGGAAACAGGCCTTTACATATACTGCTGAGGCCAGGGAGGTCCCAGCCACTTTGCTGGCCGGCTTGGCATTGGCATCAACACTTTAAAGGCATCTTATTGCAACTTTACCTGATAATGTATCACACAGACCCAGGTACACAAAGTTGTGTATGTACAAAGATATTACGGATACACATTGTATATTATTGCCAAAGATCACGAGCAAATTACCTTATACATTCTGAAGACTGAATTAAAAATTATATTACATCCATAAATGGAATGTTATGCCTCTGTTAAAAAAATATGATATGGTCACTAAATCCATGGTCGAGAGAAAAATGTAGATTGGGTAGTTTCTGTCGCATGTGGAGATCCGTGTAGTAATGAAAAAGGCAGGTGCGCGCCTGGGCATGCCCATGTGCTTGTACCGTGCATCCACCATCGGAGGAAGATGACTGCTTGGGTAGGGCAGTCCTGGGCCGGAGCTCAGAGGTGGGAAAGCGAATTTGCTTCTTCTAAGAAGAGCCTTGGATTTTTTGCCATTGGGTTATAAGGTTTTAATTGTGAATTATAACAAGATTGCACTTAATATTTCTTTATCCTCTTTACTGGATATTTTCATTTTCCTCGGCTTCTGGGAATAGTACGGCTATAAATATTCTTACAGGAGCCCTGGTGGCATAGTGCTTATGTGTTGGGCTGCTCCCCACAAGGCCAGCTGTTTGAAACCACCAGCTGCTCCGGGGGAGAAAGACGGGGCTTTCTACTCCCATAAAGAGTTACAGTCTTGGAAACCCACAGGGACCGCTCTATCCTGCCCTATAGGGTCACCGGGAGTCAGCATCGACTCCACAGCAGTGAGTGTTTGAGAAAACTCTTACACCTGTTGGCTGTTGCACATGGATACACCTTTCTCATCAGTTCTGGGATGTTTGGGTCTCAGGACTTTGTTTCTATGGGTCATCAATATTTACTGTGTTTGAAATGAAGATATAATTTTTATTAGTTATTAAAATATGCTATTGTCCAAGATACAGTATTACCAGAAAGAGCGGCATTGTTTCACAGTATTTTTACAAGTCTCGATAGTGTCTAGCTTGATGAAAGACAGTTGGATGCGCATGTCCGCCTCTCCGGCCCCTCGTTTGGCTATGCTAGTTCTATCAGTGGAAGAAGACCCGAGTCAGCCGATAAATAGTTGTAAAAGGGAGGAGTGTGTGTTAGACTGGGTTCTCTAGAGAGACAAAACCAGATTGCTGATAATTTTATGAAGATATATTTAGATAGACAGATAAATAACACAAGAAATACACAGTTGTTAAATTATAAAGCAGTTATACAGATAGATAGATA